TTCTCTGTGAGTGCTATTGACCCTGCGGTGCAGGAAGTATTTGAAACTGTTGGCAGGGATGAGTTGGAGGTAGTTTTGACCAAGCACCTCGAGTTGGAAACAACTCCTGAGGTGGAGTGGAGTGAAGATCTAAAATGTACAATAGGTGCATTACACTCATTGCAGACCACCACGAAAAGGTATGAAGTCTTACCTATTTTTACTCCCGAACCTCACCAGAGGGTATTGCCATCTGTGGTGCAGGCACCTGTACTGGAGTTGAAACCTCTACCAGAGCACCTGAAATATGCATATCTGGGTGATAATGAGACACTCCCGGTGATTATCTCATCGGCACTGTCAAAAACTCAGGAGGAGAAACTGATCCGGGTCCTTAGAGAGCATAAAGAGGCGATAGGTTGGACAATTGCGGACATTAAGGGAATCAGCCCGGCCATCTGTATGCACCGGATTAGACTAGATGAGGATGCCAAACCTGTACGACAGGCTCAAAGGAGGCTTAACCCCCTCATGATGGAGGTGGTGAAGAAGGAAATTTTGAAATTGTTAGATGTGGGGATTATTTTTGTAATATCAGATAGCCCTTGGGTGAGCCCGGTCCAGGTAGTCCCAAAGAAGGCAGGAGTGACGGTAGAGGCCAACCAAACGGGTGAGCTCGTGCTAGTGCGCAAACCCACTGGATGGAGGCAGTGTATAGACTACCGTAGGCTAAATGCCGTCACTAAAAAGGACCATTTTCCTCTCCCTTTCATTGACCAGATGGTTGAACGTCTAGCTTGTAGGGCTTACTATTGCTTTTTGGATGGATTTTGAGGATATTTTCAGATAGCAATTGCACCAGAGGATCAAGAGAAGACAACCTTCACGTGCCCGTTCGGGACCTTTGCCTATAGACGAATGCCATTCGGGTTGTGCAATGCACCTGTAACATTCCAGAGGTGTATGGTAAGTATTTTTTCTTAATATGTGGAGAAAATTATTGAAGTTTTTATGGATGATTTCAGTGTGTATGGTGATAGCTTTGATACATGTCTAGATAACCTGAGATTGATCCTAATAAGGTGTATAGAAACTAATCTTGTGCTTAATTGGGAAAAATGTCATTTTATGGTTGAACACGGGATAGTCCTGGGTCATATTGTATCGTCTAAGGGCATCGAGGTTGACAAGGCTAAAATAGACATTATATCTGCATTACCTTACCCCGCGAATGTGCGGGAGGTGCGTTCTTTTCTTGGACATGCAGGTTTTTATCGAAGGTTCATCAAGGATTTTTCAAAAATTGGAGCCCCGTTGTTCCAACTCTTACAAAAGGAGGTGACCTTCGAATTCGATGACAAATGTGAGAAAGCATTCGACAAGTTGAAAGAATTGTTGACTTCACCCCCAATTATCCAACCCCCTGACTGGAGTCTACCATTTGAGATCATGTGCGATGCCAGTGATCACGCCGTAGGGGCTGTATTGGGGCAAAGAGTAGGGAAGGCAGCTCACGTCATCTACTATGCATCCCGAGCATTGAATGGAGCCCAATTGAATTACTCCACCACTGAGAAGGAGCTTCTTGCAGTTGTTTTTGCTCTAGAAAAATTCAGGTCATATCTGTTAGGTGCTAAAGTGATTGTATTTTCTGATCATGCAGCATTAAGGTACCTGATGACCAAGAAAGATGCAAAGCCAAGGCTCATCAGGTGGATATTGCTACTACAGGAATTTGACCTGGAAATAAGGGATAAAAGAGGCTCAGAGAATTTAGTAGCTGACCATCTGAGTCGTATACCCGTTGGAGAGGACAAGGAACCATTGAGGGATGCATTCCCTGAAGAGCATTTATTTTCTTTAAATTCTCAATTGTCTTGGTATGCCGATCTGGTCAATTATTTGGTAACTGGTAGTTTTCCTGCAGGTTGGCCAAAATCGAAGAGGGATAAATTGAAGAGCGACGCCAAGTATTTTATTTGGGATGACCCGTACCTGTGGAAGAGATGTGCGGATCAGGTGATGAGGAGATGTGTAAGTGAAATGGAATTTCAATCGATTTTAGCTTTTTGTCATACTCTTGCCTGTGGAGGTCATTTTGGACCCAAGAGGACTGCTCATAAGGTTTTAGAAAGTGGATTTTATTGGCCTTCATTATTTAAGGATGCCTATGTGTTTTGTAAGTCATGTGATCGCTGTGAAAGGGTAGGTAATATAACCCGTAGGGATCATATGCCCCAAGTCCCGTTGATTTTTGTTGAAATTTTTGATGTCTGGGGTATAGATTTCATGGGGCCTTTTCCTACTTCATTTGGTTTTTTGTATATTTTGCTGGCAGTTGATTATGTGTCTAAATGGGTGGAGGCTAAGGCCACTCGAACTAATGACTCGAAAGTAGTTGCAGATTTTATCAGGTCTAATATTTTTGTGCGATTTGGAATGCCAAGAGCTATTGTCAGTGATAGGGGAACGCACTTCTGCAACAGAACCATAGCTGCGTTATTTCGCAAGTATGGTGTACTCCACAGGGTCTCAACGTCGTACCACCCTCAGACCAATGGTCAAGCGGAGGTGTCGAATCGGGAGATTAAGTCTATCTTGGAGAAAATGGTGCGCCCCGATAGGAAAGATTGGAGTCAACGGTTGGAAGATGCACTCTGGGCCTATCGGACGACATACAAGACCCCTATAGGAATGTCACCGTACAGGTTGGTATTTGGGAAGCCGTGTCATCTTCCAGTGGAGTTCGAGTATAAAGCATTCTGGGCGGTTAGGCAATGCAATATGGATATTGAGGAGGGCGGAATCCAAAGAAAGTTACAGTTACAGGAGTTGGAGGAGATTCGCAATGAAGCCTATGAGAATGCGATAATTTATAAGGAGAAAAATAAGATTTTTCATGACCAACAGATCTCAAGGAGGACATTCGAGTGTGGGCAAAAAGTTCTACTATACCACTCCAAATTGAAATTATTTCCAGGTAAATTACGTTCTCGTTGGATTGGCCCTTTTGTTGTGACTAATGTCTTTCATTATGGTGCAGTGGAGATCCAAAGTTTGAAAACTGAGAAGAAATTTGTAGTGAATGGTCACCGCCTCAAGCCATATTATGAAGGTTTTCCAACTGAACGGGTGGAGATGATGCACTTGGGGGACTCGATTAGCTTAGTTTAAGCAAAGTTTTGGACAATGTCTAGCCCAAGACGTTAAAGAAAGACGCTTTTGGGAGGCAACCCAAGACTATTTGTTTCAGTTTTCATGCATTTTTGAAGTTTTAGTTAAGTGTTAGTGTCAATTAATAGTTTGATGTTTGGTGGCAGGAAATTAGTAGTTAGACGTGCCCACGCCAGGTGGTCACGCCTGAGGGAAAGAACTTTTCGTTCAGGATCTGCGGACTCTATGGCAGTTAGACGTGCCCACGCCAGGTGGTCACGCCTGAGGGAAGGAATTTTTCGCTCAGGATCTGCGGACTCCATAGTAGTTAGACGTGCCCACGCCAGGTGGTCACGCCCGAGGGGAAGAAATTTTCGTGCAGGTTCTGAGGACTCTATAGCAGTTAGACGTGACCACGCCTAAGACAGGAGTTCTTTGTTTACAAAAAAAAAAAAAAAAAAAATTTTAATTTTCGTAGAGAGAAAAAAAAAAAACCAAAAAAAAAACAAAAAAAAAGAGGATATTTCTCACCGTAGCTCAAATGGAGCCAAAAAAAAAAAACTTTATTTTTCCTTCTTTTCTTTCTTTCTTTTCTTTCTTTTTCTTTCTTTCTTCTTCTTCCTTCTTCTTTTCTTCCTCCTCTGCTCCCTCCCTGTTGCCCGAATCGCCGCCGCCGCTCGAACGCCACTAGCCCGCACGCCACTCCAGCCGCGCAGCTGCACGTCACCAGCAGCCTTCTGCGCGCGAGCTCCAGCCCAGGCGCGCGCGAGTTTCAGCCACCTCTGCAGCCCAAGTGCGTCGTCCTTGCGCGCGATCTGCAGCCCAGGCGCGCCGTCCAGGCGCGCGATCTCCAAGTCCACCTCTGCAGCCGCGCGGCCTCGACTGCGCCTCCCTCCAGCTCCAGTTTCACCTCGCAGCATCACCAACACTCCCAAGATTGCGCCGCCGCAGCCCTGCTTCCTCGACGCTGCGGATCTTCCCCATCGCGCGCAGCTTCAACAGCTCGCTGACCTGCTGCGCGCCGTCCATAGCTTCACGCTGCGTCGTCCTGGCACGCGACCCTCTCGATCTGCACAGCCCACGCCGCGCGCCGCTGCCTGCCACAACGGGCAACCTCCACAGCAGCCATCACCAGCCTTCTGCGCGCGACTCCAGTTCCTCTCCAGGCACAACCCAGGCGCGCAGCAGAGCGCCTTCCGTTTCTGCTCAGTCCAGCCCAAGCGCATGCCCTTCACGCGCGGCGCTGCCTTCCTCCACCTCTCTGCCACCCCTACTCTCTATTTCACCCACTGCCTCGTCCACACTCCGGTGATTTCTTTCTTTATTTTTATGTCATTCAGTAGCTGAGGCCAGATTATTAGTCTTTAATTAGCTGATGACAGAATTTTAATTTCTTAGCTGAGGCCAGATTTTTGATTTGCTAGCTGAGGACAGAAATTGTGTGTTATTTGGGGTTGCTGCGATATATCTGTGGTTGATTGTGGTCTATTTGTGAAATTTTGTGCTCAATCAGAGATATTTGGGGAAAGTTTTTACTCTGATTGCTTGTTTAATTAGTTTTTGGGGGTATTTTGCTGCGTTTATTTAATTAAGTGATTTTTGGGTCAATTTGGTAGTATTCTGGAAAAATTTTGCTGCTCACAATGCTAATTAGCTTTTGGGGTAATTTTATTGTTTGGTTGTGCACTTGTTTGTGATTGGCAGCTGTGATTGGGACCCTTTAACTGAATCAGCTGCCTGTTGCCCTCTTTTGTGCACATTTGCCTTGCCTCTGTCCTATCCATTAGACCAAATGACTAAACCAAAAACTAAAGGCAAGAACAAGCCATCCACCTCCACCCCTCAGCCTACGGTCCCCTTAGGGGGACCTGCCCCATCGAGTGGGCCTGGAGGGCCCCGTACCCGTCTTGGGCGGAATAGGGAGGTTCATATCTCCTCTCCGGCCCACTTCGGCGGGAATTTGACCTTCACCCGGGCTGCCGACAAGGAGCGGTATGCCTCGGCTTGCACAAGGAAGATAATTCCTTGTAAATACATCCATGGCCCTACACTTGATATGCTGAACCTGAGGGATGGGGTCACGCAGCACTTGACTCACGTAGGCTGGACCCGTTATGCTTCTATCAATCTACCTGCTTTTACTGAACTCACATGGGAATTCTATGCTACTTTTGAATTTAATATTCCTGATGAATTCTCCGTTACCACTCCTGGGGTAGTGAGGTTTCGATTAATGGGTAGAGAGTTCACCCAATCTATAACTTAATTTAATTTGGCTCTTGGATTCATTGATATTCCCTACTCCCAGAGTGAGGAATATATGCACAGTGCGTGCGAGTACACGGAGCCATTTTTCTCTCATTACCTTGATTATTGGGGAAATTTGTCAGTGGACCGAAACTGCTATGACCCCAGTCAATCTAAGGCTTCTTATCTTAAGAGCGCCGCCTACCGGTATTTACATAGATTCATGGCCTATAGTTTCTCAGGTAGGAAGGATAGCTCGGGTACTCTAACCAAGCCCGAGTTCTTTTTCGTTTGGTGCATGGTCACTCGGACTAAGGTTAATTTGGGTAGCTGGTTTGCCCTCCACCTCCGAACTGTGCTAAGTAAGAAAAATAAGCCATTAATCTTAGGCTCGTTTATCACTCAGTTGGCTGTAAATCTTGGGGTTTTGGACTTAAATAATCATAACTTGCATCGTGCTTGTACTATGGAACCCCTCGATTTGGTTTGTTTGGAAAAAATGGGTCTCGTGAGACAGGTGGCGGGCATTTTTCAGTTTGCTCCCCCGGGGCCAATCTCCGTTCCTCCAAAGCGCAGAGCTTCCAAAACCGCTGACGCGGAGGCTGGTGGTCCTTCTACGGATGGCCCCGAACCATCCTCTTCGGCACCTCTACCATCTTCCTCCGTCGATAGCCAGCTTGCAGCTCTTCGGTTCCAGATGCAGCACATGGACACTCATATGGATCGGATGGAGGGCCAAATGGCCGGCATGGCCCAGAATTTAGCACAATACCTCTACCACGTGGGTTTCCGCCCACCGTGCCCTCCATAACCTTAGTTCACCTCTGCCCTCCGCCGTATTAAGGGAAGCGTTATTGCCTTTATCGCTTTATTTCATCTTTATCCGCTTCCATTGAGGACAATGAAAGGTTTAGGTGTGGGGGAGGGTTAATTATGCAATAGTTGTGCTTTGAGCTGTTTTATGTGCATTTTCCTTGCCTTAGTAGCTCTCTTCTTTAAACTGTGATGAATGCAATTGAGATATGAGTATACATAGCAAGTTCATACCATGGGGTGCTCCATTTTTCCTCGATGCTGAATTGATTGAGTAATATGCTGAACTTGACATAAATTTTGACCACGTGTGCGATTTTTTGGGCCTAATTTTTCGTTTGTTTGAGTGGTTATTGCACATGGTCTGTCATTCTAGAACTTGCTCGGTTATGCATGTCAAGACCACATTTAAATGAGTTTAATGCGTTGAAATGATAGGGCACCTAGGAATGAGCCATTTTCAGACTTTCTTAAAACCAACCCTTGGATTATTTACTACCATTAGGGAGCCAAGTTGAGCCTTAAATCCTATTCTTTGCTTGAGACCCCAGCTCTTAGCCGCGAAACCTCTGTTTGGACTTTCTTTCTGAACCTCGTGTGAAGAAGTGCTTTGATTTCATTATACAGAATTGTGGAACAGTATCTGAGAGGCCTTTGTAATTAATTTAAGAAAAAAAAAACCCACAAAAAGAGAAAAGGAAAAAAGACGTGGGAAGAAGGCAAAATGCAAGAAAGCAACGAGTAAAGTTGATTCTTATGGTGCTGGTTGGGAGTTGTTGAAAAAAAAAAAGAAAACGAAAAAAATAGAAAAAAGAGAGAGAGAGAGGAGAAAGGAAAAGTCGAAGGTCGTGGCAAGTGCCAATTTACTCTACTCGTGTGATGGTTGAGATGCCTTGAAGTTCCCAATGTGCAAGAATCTGTGTAGTGAGTTTCTGAGCACTTTCTTTATACCTTTACACCCTTTTGACTCCTTTTTATCCTACCTTCTCACCCTAGCCCCATTACAACCTTGCAAAGTCCCTTGATTGCTGCATTTAAATTCATAAGTAAGTGGTGGAGATATGATATATGAGCAAGCTTATGGTAGTGTCATTCTATTGTGTTGATTTGAGAGCCATCTTATATATATATCCTATACACTTCGGAGTGAATGAGTGCACTTTGAACTGTGAGCATTGTTGATTTGGCATATTTTGATTGCGATGAAGTTATTGGGGAATTTGGAGTGCCGTTTTTGGTATGAACTGCTGTAAATTGCTTCGTATCTTGATTGTACTTCTGAGATAATTATGCTTGAGGGCAAGCATGATTCAGGTGTGGGGGGAATTGATAGGGTAGAATTTGTTAGTAATTTTATTATTTATTTCCCCTTGTATCCCTGATAAATTTTGTGTTAATTGCTGATATTTACTCATATTTGGTATCTGAACTTAATTTCAGGAATGAAGCATAAAACTACCAAAAAGGAGGGATTTTATGGAGAATATGAAGACTTCTAAGGGCTTCAATCCTTGGGCCCTTGGATTGGTGGGGACCACAAAGTTATAAGTCATTTGGGCTCTTCAAAGAAAGCTACGTAAGGAGACTTGGAACAAGAAGTACTTGGGAGGCTTTGTCCACATGTGTGGGGACCACCTAGATAGCTTTAGTCTATCTTTCTTTTGTCTCTTAAATAGGGATAACGTAGGGAAGGAAGACATCTCTAGTTTTAGTTTTTCTTTTAGTTTTAGTTTTTAGCCTAGTCTTTAGTTTTTTTCTTTTCCTTCTCCTGACTGGCCTCTGACACACGCCAGGTGTTCGACAATATTCCCCAACGGGAAAAACACCTTTTATTCCTTACTTCCCAATAGAAAACGCAATGCCTTTGCAATTTATTAATTCGTGTGGTGATTTCATTATGCGGCGTGGCTAAGCCTTCCATCTAGTCAAGGGTCAACTCGACGGCGCAGTCCCGAAAATTTGTGAGATCTAATTAGTTTTCACGTGTTCCTTAATTTATTAATATTTGCACGTTGTCTGCTTGAATTTTCATGGGATTATTTTATTAATTGGATGTCAAGGGCCCGATGTTCAATGTGATTTATTAATCTCGTGCCAATTTAGTCAATTAAATCCGTAATTGTTTGATTGATTAATATTAGTGGCAACTGGTGTGTTTACACATTAGGGGAACGTGCGATCTAATTTAAATAACCCTCGTAGCGTGTTATTGATTAGGGCTAGGTTTTTCTAGTTATTAATGCAATTGGAAAATTACTTCCTATGGTCGTACCTAGGAGTATTTGCTGATTAGGAGTAATCAACGGTCGTACCTTGGTTATCAATAATTTAAGGAAAAATTGGTCGTCAGACTATAACTAGCCTATTAATACATTAAGTGAACATCTCTTGCATCAATGATCGGATGATTGGACTGTGCCAGAGTAGTTGCATCCTTGGCTAGAATTTATTTATTATTGATTTAATTCCTGCTAAATTTGTGCTAGTTAATTATTTATTTTTAGTTGGATTGTTTAATTATTTTTAGTTGCCTATCCGTGGAATCCCCCTCTTACCAATTAGATTTTAAAAGAGACAAATATCTCCAGTCCCTGAGGAGATGACCCTATTTGCCACTGTCTATTATTTAGTAAATTTCGTCAATTAATCAATTCTGGTATATCGGATTCAGCAAACTCTTCGGGAACAGGGTGAATCAAGTAACCCATTGCACACCTAGAGTCCCTGCTCCAGTACCTAGGATTAATTATTGACTGCTTTTAGTGGTAGCTAGGTTCTATATTTATTATTATTATTGCACAGGCTGACGACCTGTCAAAAGGAAGAGAGGGGAATTTTGCCTATTTGAAGAAAAGAAACAAGAAAGAAAATCACAAAATGAAAGGAAAAAAAAGAGAATGCAGAGAATGAAACCCCCTGGTAATTTGGTGATGATGCATGCTAGTGATTTGATGATGTCATGTTTTTCTTTTTCCTTTTTAATTTGGTGAATTTCTGTTTTCTAATAACATTGGTTGAAGTTGACTGGAAAAAGCAAAAAAAAAAAAAAATGGAATTCCTTTTTAATTTGGTTGAAGGTTGAGGAGAAGGAGAAGAAAGAGGCGGAAATGTTTCCGCCTGATGCATGAGGAGGAATTAATGGCATCAAAGTATAAGGGACGGGTGTTTGGACCGATTGAAGAGTAGGAAGACCAAAGATAAGGCCAGGTGGCAACTGCCTTCCAAGCCTAATTTTTTTTAAAATTTTGTGTTTCGACCCTTTATGTTTTGAACAATTACAATTATGCTTGCAACTTTCTTTTATAATTATTGTGTGCAACTTTAGCTTTTGCACCTTGTACAAATAAGTCTCAATTTTGTTTAAGATTTATCATGCATGTGCATTTGAACTTTATAAACGTTAACAAATTAATTTAAAATTTGATTGTTGAATTTTTATTTAAAATTCGTATTAAGTATTTGATATTGATTTGTCATTTTGTTCAATTTGTTTTAAGAATTTGATATGATGCAAGGACTATGAGGTAAAAATGAACCTAATTAATATATTAATAGTATTTTTTCCATATTTTTTATTTTAAAAAATTAATAATATTTATGACATCATAATGACATCATCCGGCTTTTAATACTAGTCCGACTTGATCGAATCTAATGGTCCCTGACCCTTGAACTCAGTCGAGTTTCTTGCCAGTCCGAGTTTCAAAACATAAGTTACAAGTGCCACCAGAGGGGGTGTTTTGTAGCTCAGATGAGGCCAAGTTTACTTGTCCTGATCTTGGCAATGAGAAGCTTGGCACAATTAACTTGCAATCCTACCGGTCTCTCACCCCATTATCAATACTTAGGATTACTTAGTACTATGATCAAACTTTAAAGTTTGATTGGTAATTTGGTCAAATTTCATGGAAATACATGCACAATAGGTCTGACTTATAATTTGGCCAAATCTCAAGGGAGATGAATACACAATAGGTTTTACGTATCACTTCCTAGCTTACTCTCGGTCCCATCTTGTATTATATTGTCATGTATCCTTCATAAACAACCTATTTTAACTCTTTTTTTTTCTTCTTCTGAATTCCAAGAACCACTAACTATGTAAAAAAAATGATAATAGACTAAAATGCCAAATTTTAATTTAAAAAATCAAATTTTTACGAGTTTTTTAGTATATATATTTTTCATTTCTTTATCATATATTGGTTTTAGTTGTTGTATTTTGATCTTTTTTTAACCCTGTGAGTCATAGTTGGAACTCAAGGACAAAAGCGGGGTTAAAAAAGGATGTTCATGCAGAATACATGACCTACTACATAAGGTTAGGACAAGAAGTAGCACAAGGAGTGGAGAGAAAAGATCCATTGCGAGACAAATGTAATTAATTGTTTGATTAATGTGAATAATAATACCTTTTACCATCAATGATTTAATGTTTCACCTCATAATCTCCTTATGCTTTTGAAATTATCATCTTAACCCGGGCCCTTGTAGATAACTGTTTTTTTTTTGTTAAATCAAATTTAAAGAGGGTAAATATGGTATTTGGTTGATTAATTGCTAATATATATTTTTTACATTTTTTTCTTGGCTAATTTTCAATTTGGAGCCTTAAATTATGGACTCTCTACAACTCTAATCCTTAAATTTTAATTTTGAATGCTTTACTCCCTAAAGTGTGATATTTATCCTACTTTAGTGCTTAATAATTATTCTGTATCTTGACGACTAGTTTTGCCACAAAACAAAGAAAAACTCAATGGCTCCTCTCACAAAAGCACAAGGTAAAATTGCAATTTCGAAACGATAAGGGGCTGCATGGCAAAACATTAAACCACAAAGGAGTAAAATTAATTTACCTATTTTAATATTTTCAAACTAGTGGAAAAAATGTATTCCACTATAATGGAGAATCTTTTACATGCATAGCACAAATCCTTGATCTTCTTCAATGTCCTTGTCTAAATTTGGAGAAACAAAAGTGAGTTCTTCTTAGCATTACGCCATGATAATTTCATTTTGAAGTTAATTTTGCAAATCAACGCCATACATAATATACCTCATAAACTATTTCAGTTAAACACAAAAAGTTAAATTTGAATTAACAAATTTTTGATGTTCAATTAATCGTTACAAAATTTTCCATGATCTTAAACTCTTTTATACTGGTTTAATTGTTTCTTCCAAATTGAATGCAAAAACTTTGTCAAATAGACTTTATCTTTATTTATGTTGATCAACCAATAAAAATAAAATAATAACATCATAATATGAGTTTTAAAAACCGTATATTAGATAAATGGATGAATAACTAAAGAGAAACGAAATGGAGAGAAGCCGAATCAAGCCATCATAACTAAAGAATTCTACGATGGCCACCATACTATTAAATCAATATATACTCTATAGTCAATTAACGTCCGAATGCTTGCGAAAAGGCTAGATATGTACATAATTACTGTCCTAAGAATTATAAGTCCACTTAAAATTCTACCATATATGACAAATCATGAGTGTCATGATCAGTATGATGTGCTTATGCTGAAATCTTACTATTTTGCACTACATGCCGACGCTTCAATTCAACTAAACTATTAGTTACGTGATGGTCTCCTTTAGGTATATATTTTCGTTCGGCACTAAATTTACACCAATTTATTCTAAATCATTAATCTCAATTATAAATGCATCAAAGGTGTGGATCTTTCATTTTCATTTTTGATCCAGAAATCAATACAAACAAAAAAATTGTAAGACTTAAGACTAAAGGTTCCAGAACATACCTTTACAAGGACAAGGAGGAGGGTCAACAATAAAATTTAGTTTGGCACAGGTGGTGTTACATTTAGGAGGATTTTCTTAATTTTTTTCATAGATCTTCATGAAGATTCATTGGCGAGAGCGAGTTTCAAGTGTATTAGAAAATTACATTCTCAGAAGACAAGAGTTAAAAGTGATATTTTACCTGTTTCACCGTGGTTTAGAACAAATAGTGGATTCTATTCCCTATAACTTGTGTTTAGTTGATTCTTCCATTCTTGTGATTTTCCTTAGTTTACTTATTTTGCTTACCTTCAATTTATATTTTCTATATTTGAGGCTATTTAGATAATAAAACAAGTGAAAAAGTCTTAGTAATTGTTACTTTGCCCCTCGTGGGATCGAGAATAGTAATACCTCCTATACTCATTAAACAAACTATATACCAGCAGAATTCTATTAAATTTGGTGTAAGGCGAGACCTCGTCAATTGGATAAATGAATGGAAAACTAAAAAGAAACGGAATGGAGAGAAGCCCAACCCAGTTTCGCAAACCAAGCTATCATACACAAGGGATCCTACGATGGCGACCACGCTATTACTTCAATATATATTCTATAGTTAATTACTATCCTAATGCTTGCAAAAATGCTAAATATGTAGATAATCACTGTCTTCTGAAGTATAAGTCCACTTAAAATTCTACCATATATGACAAATCATGAGTGCTATGATCAGTATGATGCGCTTATGCTGAAATCTATTTTGTACTATATGCCAATGGTGAGATTTACTCGTTGTACAAATTCTACTATCATTCATACCAATTATAAATGCATTAAAGGTGTGGATTTAAAATAAAGTGATGCGAATATAGCCCTTTCATTTTCATTTTCGATCCAGAATTCAATAAAAACAAAAAAAAATTGTAAGATTTAAGTCTGTTTTTAACACTAGGAAAAAAATATCTGGTCAGAGCAACGCTCCAGGACATACCTTTAGTGGAACTAGGAGGAGGAGCACCGGTGAAGGAATGTAAGTTTGTCATAGGCGGTGGTGCAGGGGATGCAGTATTGTAGAAGCGGTAGAGCTCATACCTAATATTACAGCTTGGAAAGATTACTCTACCTCCCACTCTGGTAGCACAACACCTGGGCAGCAATGCTATAGCATTTTTAAGGCACCCTTTGCAGTCATCACCAGATATATCTGGTGTGCACTGTGCAAGGGTATACAACGTATGAAAAGCGGAAAAGTTTGCTTGTTGAACAGCAAACTTTTTCCCAATATGATTTGCAGCCTGATCCGCAGTGTTATACAACAAATTTCCCAATAACAGTACGAAGCTGTACGAGTCCGATCCAGAGACATTTTGTACGTTGTACATAGCCAATCTCACTCCGAAATCAACCTTGGAGAAGATTGTCTGGTCAGAAAAACGTAACAAGCACTCGTCATACCAAACAATAGCAGCCGTCCGATTCGGGCACTCTTGAAATACTCTTGTGCTGGCACTTGCTACGCATTCTTTGCAAACATCAGCGCTGAGATCGCCTCGACAGAGAAAGAGGCCATAGACCTTGTTTGAAGGGTCATTGCCAGTACTGAAATTATAGAAGCCATTGGTGTCTGTCCGAGATGCAGTTGAAGATAGAGTGTCAAGCACGAAATTTAGATTGGTTCTGTAAATGCTGCCGGTAGGACTGTTAGGGTTGTATGTAGTATTTTCACAGTAAGGCGCAAGAAAATTAACGGGGCTAGTGAATTTGGTATGGAAGCTAATAAGCAAACAAAGCATGTAATAATGGAAGTGGAACAACAAATTTCTGGAGATCATGTCAAAGGCAGGCATCAAAAGAATAAAAGGCTAAATATCCACAAATTACAGTTGTAAAATAGGAGCCAACATTTTGGTTGAGGAATCATGAAAGTTGTACACGCCCCCCGAAAATGATTAGCCTATAGGATGACTTTACTTTAGCAAGTCGGTCAACCAAGTCGCCTGGACGTGAACCATCAGATGAATGGGTCCCTAACGAAAATTTAATACGCAGTAACGGATTTTGACGGGATTGCAAATTTCCGGATGGGATCCTTTATGGTAGGAACGCATTGACCGTTCCTACCGTAGGTCTGCTGTGTGTGTCCAGACGAAAAATCGATGCATCAAAAAATGGCCATTTGGACTAGGAAGCACAGACCATGGGCTTCGCAAGGCCTGAGAAAGATCCTACACTGCAGCAATTGTACGTGTAAATTCTTCATTCAAATTTAATTAACGTTTGTCTTCACTTCTCCCAATTTGGTATCTGGATGGGATCCCTTCATGTTACTAAATTCTAATGTGATCATTCAAATGTTACACTAAGTCTCACTTATACTCATTCTCCTTAACTATTTTCATTTTACAATGGCGCTTTGTATTTTTCATATTTTTAATTTTTTATTTAACAAAAAATTTTATAGGACAACTTAAAATGCTAGTGTATAAAAGTGAATATAGTATTTGTAAGACAAGGATTCAAATTAAACACATTAAAAATGGTTAATTTATAACAACTTAATATTTAGTTGTAATCGAATATTATCCCATAGTTGAATTATATTTACTCTAATTAATAGTGGTAAGTCAATATATGAGTGAAGGATATGTAGTACACAATAAGTGCAATTACATATGTGATTGTTTCATGGCTAAAAGGAAAATCAAAAGCAAACTAATACTTGATGAACTGAATTTCTGTTCAAAGTAACCATCAAGGGTATATAATTTCTTTTGACCCATGGAATAGTTGCCTTCTTGAACAGCAAACTTTTTGCCCCCATTCATTTGCAGCCTGAGCCGCGGCGTCAACCACCAGGTTTGCCAACGTTGTTTCGAACTTCTCCTGGTCCCGTCCAGTGACATTTTGTACACCGTACATAGAAAGAACAAGGTAGGAATCGGCCTTCGAGAAAATTTCCTGGTTAGCAAAACGTAAGAAGCACTCCTCGTACCAAACAATAGCATCCTTTTGATACGGGCACTCCTCAAGTATTGATAGGTTTGTATGTAGTATTTACACAGTAATACGAAAGAAAATTAACGGGGCAAGTGAGTGTGGTATGGAAGCTAAGCAAACAAAGCATGCAATATTGGAAGTGGAACAACAAATTTCTGGACATCATTTCAAAGGCAGGCACCAAAAGAATAAAAGGCCTAAAAGCTTTCGTTGGTTGAGGGACCAGGAAAACGTGTACTCTAGGAAGACTTTATTCTAGCAAGTCGGTCAACCAACTGCCTGGACGGGAACCATCTCTAGAATTCTGGTTACAGAATTCTATACGTCTTTTATGGATTTTGACGGAAGTGGAAAATTCGAGGTTGCTCACAATATTGAACAATGTCATTGTGACAGATTAATGGCGACCAAGCTAAAAGCTAGTGCTCTAATCGTCCCAATTTCAATCTCTATTTGGTAGTAGAATCGTTCAACACTACTGGGTTTTAACTTTGGATTATTCTTTGTAAGCATTGTCAGTGTAAATCCATTTCACACTATTAAGATGCATGACACGTAAATTTTATTCAAATTTGGAATTCATTTTTAACAAATATAGCATGCACCTAAATAAATAAATAAAAATCTTTATGCTGATGGTGTAGATTAGATTAATCCTATTTTTAAGAAAGAGTTCTTTAGATACACTTGAAAAATCATGTAAAGTCTATCAAATTGTTTCTTTTGTTGCATTTATACAAATGGACCCCTACATGGAAAGAAAAATCCAGCCATTTCGCCACAATTGACAGCCAATTTTATGTCCGCCACTGCTTTTCAAATCAAGTTTGATGGCCAGTTAATTTTCTAACTTATTTATTTACAATGGTGCCTGCTGCATTAGTAAGATATATCTTGGGCTGTAAAATATCCAGGGTTCATGCCTTAGTTGATACAGGAGTAACCACTTTGCTAGTTGCCTGGACATGAGCCATCGGATGACTAGTCTGTAACTAAAACTTCGATACGTCATTAAAGGATTTTGACGGGAGTGTATATTTGAGGATGCTAACAACATCAAAACAACGTCATTGTGGAGGATAATTGTAATTCTACTAATGCTCCAAAGAATAAGTTAGACCCAAATTTTAAAAAAAAAAAAAAGTTGACCCAAATTGAATCTCTATATTGCAGTTCACCACCGGCTTTAAGAAAGAGTTCTCTAAATATAGTTCAATGGGTAAATGATACACAGCCCGTGGATTCATTCATTGTCACATGACTCTATTAATATTTACAAATATCCATATAAACTTTCTATGGTTTCATATAAAGTGAGCATTTGACGGAAAAATAACCTCTAAATATATTTATTTGAAATACCAGTATTACCTTTAGGGTAAATTTCAGAAACTTCCCCTGAGATTTTCCCTAATCACATCTAGCACCCCTTGATTTTGAGAAATCACACTTACAACCCTAGGTAGAATGAAGTGACATGCTGTCCTAATCAGTAGTGGAGAAATTACCATGCTACCCCCTATTATTAAGTATTTCTTGTGCAGGAAAATGCTGCAAAAAAAAAAAATTGAAGCTATATTAATTCAAAATTAAAAGAACATAATTGCTATCATCTTTGGCCCACAATTTGAGTGCCATTTTTGTTATATCAGGGCTTTTCCAAGTGGTTTTAACGAGGCTAAAGGCTCCCTGCAGTCCTTACTCTTCGTTTTTGAAGTAGTACAAGTACTCCGTGTCATCAAAATGTATGATAAGAAAACCTATTAATTATTGTATTTTTTTATGCATTTCATCTGGTGGAATATGCATTGCCATATACTAATCTTATAATATATAGCAAAGCATTGATGCACTAGTATAATCTTATAATATATAGCAATGCATTGATGCACTAGTTGCATGGAAAGACACGTTGATGCATTAGTTGTACTAACAAATATGAATAGTAGCACACTTTTTGGAATCTTAGTTTGGCTTAGACTTAGCTAAACATGTGACCATGGAAATGCACATCTGATTGGATTGTCACAAGTACCACACAAAACAGGTTCAACTTCCTCAGCTTTCTACTTTGAATTGCCTATGACTATGAAGGCTAAAACAGTTGGTAAACAATTATAGCATTGCATGTTGTACTTGGACTTCATCAATTTGATTTTGTAATCTCAATAAAATGTAGATAGCAATCAGTATTAGATTGATGCATCAGTTGCTGCAATTTGCCCAAAGAAAATCGATGGTGAATGAAATTGTTATCTTGTTTCCAAGCTACTTTATACATCTTAAGCACCAGAAGGTTGGAATGGTCCTGCCCAACGGTCCTCTACAGTATCAATGTTAAGAAGCTTCTTGTGCTTATTGCACTTACACCCCTTTAGCTTCTAAAATAATATCACATTATAGCTTTGTTTCTATTTTCATATTGTAAATTCAAAACTCATCTTCCAGCAGGGCAAAAGTGGAACAGAAAAATAGTATTTCTCCTATAAACAATTTTTAAATACAATTCTTATGCAAAAGGGCTGACAATGTGATGAAAGTTGTCATTCTAAGGGTGGTAAGTGTGATTTCTGAAAGTTATGGAGGGCTAGGTGTGATCGGAGAAAACCTCAGGGGAGGTTTCTGAAATTAACCCTTACCTTTATTTAAACATTAATTCAAACAATGACCAGACCATCTTACATAAAATTATAGGAGAATTATGTAGATAAATGCAAAATCTATAGAGGATTAAAATGGATATTCATACAAATCATACAAGAAATTAAGTATATATCATTATTTCGTCACATGCATTTTTGGAGCACTTCTGTCCAATCACTATAGCCATTGATGTTTTCTGTCTATTTATCATATCCCATGAAATCATAGGGCGTTATGGGGATATTTTGAAATCTAAGGGGAATCATGTGCCAATGAAAAACCAAGGGAGGTTATGTGTAATTTATGACAAGATCATGTAAAGTCTGTCACATTTTAATTGGACTGAAACTCTCCAATAATTTTCATTGTCAAAAAATGCCAATAAACTGTCACACTACTTTTAATTCTCTACGGTTCCGTGTGTTTGGTGAAGTGGACAATCATAAGACAAGCATTAATTTAAAGGAAAGAAACGTCTACCCATTTTTTAATGACCAATTCCATGTCTGTGCTGGATTTTCGAACATATTTACAAGGGTGCCTACAGCATTAGTAAGATGCAACTCAGAAGGTAAAAATAAACAATTTTCATGCCTTAGGAGCGACCACTATGATCTTTGTTGGTCTTTGTATTTGCAAGAAACCTATCACAATAGAGCTACGCGTGTAACTCCTCATTTATATTATCAATTTTGATAATCCATTTGCTTGTTAGCATTTCATTACAATTCTTATGTTAAATTTAACTTTTCAGGATTGTTTTTCTATTCGTATTGTTTCTTTGTTCATGTTAAGAAATTATTGTGCAGAATTTTATATTTGAATTCAATATTTTCTTTATCAAATTTGTCCAAATTTACATCATATGTATATTTATCGTGCACATGTTCATGTTGTTCATAAAATGCTTAACCTAGTTTAGATATTTATTCTGTTTGGTAATTATTATAAGGCGCATTCTTCTAGGACCTATTAATATTTTATTTTCATATATGATGAAATTATCAAATGGGAATAATTTGTATTGTTTCAGCCATTATTAACAGTTATGATTGCCCGAACAGGAAAAAGAATAATAGATTTTTGTAAAACTCAAAAGAATTTAAAAGACAAAGGATTTTTCAAGAATGAAAAGGTACTGCTATTCTCTTGCTCCACATTGGAACTTTAGCAAACCTAAATACCTAAGATCAGATAACTGCAGAAGTGTTAAGATTGAGGCAGGTGTGGAGCTAC